TGTACTATCACTTCAGAGCCCTAGAGATACTTTCTTAAAATAAGATCTCTAGATAACATTGTTCTGTCTCCAATGGCAGATATATGTTCTGTATAATTTTATCACATATGCATAACATATGCAGGCTTATGTATATAGGCATATAATAAGAGTATAATTATGTAATTCATGTAATCATTACTCATGTAATCCCTGATTATAGTTGAAGAAGCAAAAAATCTTGAGCACATACCCCTGCATCTTAGTATAAGTAAATCATTGAGGTGTAAGAGACAGAAGCTTCCTCTGTTTGTGGCCTAGACAGACAGCAGTCACAGTGCATCACCCCGGGCAGTGACATTGTGACATTTCAGTTACTATCTCCTGGTGCTTGCCACCAAATGAGGAACTTTTCTTTTTTCATGACCTCTTTCAAACTCTTACTCTTGTCCTTTCATGCATCACGAAATGTCTAGTACTGAACTGAAGGACAAATTCTCTAACAAAAACCATGTTAGATGCTGGTATCTTTATTTTATAGAAAGAAACAAAGCCCAGAGGAATTGCATCAGTATCTCAAACTTGGAATTAGCAAATGCTTGACTGAATGTTCAAATGTCCTTCACATATCAACCTAACAGACAATTGTGAAACTATGGTTCTATTATAGGTATTAGAGGTTTATTATTGAATAAGATCTCCCTGCTCTAATAGACCCTTGTTTTCTAAGCACTGTAGCACTGTCCTCTGTTGTTCATCGATTTGCTCAAGTGAGCGCTAGTCATGTCTCCATTGTGAGACTTTTTGCTACTGTTTCTGGCATATTGGATATTCCACAGGGAGTTGTCAGGCTCTGCCAAGGGTGCGTGATACTCTAGGTGTCTTTTCAGGCTCTCCAAGAGGAACAGAGGAATTGAACCTGGGTCAATAGCACAGTGGGTATGCCTTGCGCACAGTTGACCTGGGTTCGATTGCTCCATCCCTCTCAGAGATCCTGACAAGCTACCAAGAAAGAGTATACCGCCCTTACAGCAGAGCCTGGAAAGCTCCCTGTGGAATATTCAATATGCCAAAAACAGTAACAAGTCTCACAGTGGAGAAGTTACTGGTGCCCGTTTGAGCAAATTGATGAACAATGGGATGTTTTCTAAGAATAAAAACAAATTATGTGGTGGTGATATCTTCAAAACTATGTATAAATATACAAGGAACAAATGAACAATAAATTTTCTCTTTTTTCCAGTTCGGGGGGGGGATACACTTAGTGATGCTCAGGGGCTACTCCTGCTTCTGCACTCAGGAGTCAAGTCACTCCAGGTGGTGCTCAGGGGACTCTATGGAGTAGAAGGGATAGAACCCAGGTCAGCCACCTACAAAGTAAGCACTCTGCCTGCTGTAGTATCTCTTCAATCCCAGGAACAATACTTTTCTAAAGGCATTGTGTTCTCTAAGCAATTGATTCTTAAATTGTGGGACACAAAATTAGTTTGACATGAGGAGGGTCACAAGAATTTTGGCAAGAGTAAAAGTTTTCTGAATGTTCATTAACCAAAAGTTGATTCGAACTTAAATTCATCCTGAACCCAAGGTGCTCCTGGAAGTGCTCAGCATGTATGAATTTTTCAGAAGAAAATTTTGCAAATGAGAAAATAAGGAGAGTAGAATGAAGAAACAAGATGTCACTAACTTAAAGATGTGATCAGAGTAGGTAGTGTTGAGGAGCAGAGATATGAACAAGATGAAGAATTAGTCATAAGAAAGAATGAAGGCAGCAAGGACAAAAGAATGTCTTAGACAATGAATATTTGAGTTATATTTTTAGTTTTCAAAGAACAGAATGAAGGTCTGTATAATTAAAATAAAGGAGTGAAGGAGAAGCATACGAAGAGTAATTGTCTTTTAAAAAATTTATTGGGACTGGAGAGATAGCACAGCGGGTAGGGTGTTTGCTTTGCAAGTGGTTGACCTGGGTTCGATTCCCAGTATCCCATATGGTCCCTCGAGCACCGCCAGGAGTAATTCCTGAGTGCATGAGCCAGGAGTGACCCCACTGAAATGCCAGGTGTGACCCAAAAAATAAAAATAAAGAGAAACTTATTAGAAACAATGCTAAGCTCCCTAAATTTTCTGAAATATTTAGACTACAGAGGTAGTTAGATCTAGGATTTTTATTTTATTTATTTATTTATTTTTGCTTTTTGGGTCACACATGGCGATGTACAGGGGTTACTCCTGACTCTGCACTTAGGAGTTACTCCTGGCAGTACTCAGGGGATCATGTGGGATGCTGGGAATTGAACCCGGGTCGGCCGCGTGCAAGGCAACCGCCCTATCTCTCCAACCCTGGATCTAGGATTTAGCTTTGTGGTAGAGTACATGCTTCTCATGTGAACTCCTAATATGGTCTGTGGCACACAGAAAAAGAAAAGAGTTGATATTCAGCAAAGAGTATTGTTTATTTATACTCATATGGGAACCATACAGGGAAAAGGTACATTAGTAAATTATACATCTGGACCAATATTAATCAATAGCTGGAAAGTCTTGCTTTGTATTGGAAAGTATTTGTGACTAGTATGAGTAAGGGTGTTTTCTTATTTTCTATATTCTGAATATTTAGGAGAGTTCAAATTGATGTCACATTATCTCATGTGATTTTCACAATAAGTGTGTAACTGATCTCAGAATGAGGATGTTAGCAAGAGCTCTCAATCTGGGGGGAAAATAAGCACATAAAAGACATAAGTTTATTTAATCCAAATAAATTATCAAAATTGCTAACTATTCACTTAAGTAACAAAACAACTCCTCCATCATTTATCAACAGTGTTGAAGTAAATATTACCTTCCCAAAGGCAATCTAAACTCAAAATTCTCAACTATGCAACCCCATCAATATCTCTTACAAGCAGTTTATATTTGGGAAGTGTTATGTTTTTACAAATATTCTTTTTTAATGTACTTTATTCACTCACTCATTAAGTATAAGCAAAGGACACATTGAATTTCAGTTACTCTGCCAGGTATTAAAGAAGCCGTAGTTACAAATTATAAATGACCTTACCCTCCAGCAGCTTATATTCTTGTAAAAAAAGAAATGATAAAACAATGATGACACAATGTCATATATTGACAGATGATGTGAAGAAAGGAACTAAAGTGTGTGGTGACATGAATGTGAGGTTCTACTTTGCATACAGAAGGCAAATGAGGGTCCCGTCTGGGAGCTGACAGGTGAACAGAGTGGGAAATTTTTTTTTAATTTTGTTGAATCTCTCTCTACTTCTGGGCATTATGGTTTGCAATACAGGCACTGAGAGTGGAATGAAGTTGAGAGAATAGGCTGCAAATAGATGGAGAAAGATCACAGAAAGTGCAAAGACGCTGTAGTGGAGTACCCCCAACAGTTTCCAATAGAAATGTGGTTATAGAGGTCAGAGGCAGTAGGGAAAGTGATAGGAGAGACAGTCTGAGACTAGAACATGGACAAATACTTTTTGGCTAAAAGATATTTTAAGCATAGGTAAGAAGTCTTTGAAGGTGCATATGAAAGTTGGACATCTTGACAAAGTGATAAAACATTAAAAAATTGGAAAATAGGGCTAGAGCAATAGTACTGCAAGCAGAACACTTGCTTTGCATGTAGCTCTCCTGGGTTCGATTCCTGGAACTCTATATGATCCCCCAAACCTGCCAGGAGTGATTCCTGAGAACAGAGGCAGGAATAAGTCCTCACGGTTGCCAGGTGTGGCCCCCAAACAAAACAAAACTTTTAAAAATTAAAAAACTGAAAAACATAATGAGCTTAAATAGAGCAACTAGGACCAATAAGAGTTATTCACGTCTTGGAAAAAGATAAATATGTTGGAGGAATTGCCCTAGAGAAAATGGTAGTTTCCAACCCAGTTGAGCATGACATAACAAAGACTTTATTCTCAAAACAAAGAGTGCCGTACTCTAAGGAAGTGATATTGATGGCAACATTTTGAACATTAAGTTCATAACCGAGAGTGCCATTTTGATTCTCTCCTTAAATTATTACACATAAAACATTCTAAATCTATTTTGTGCTATTAGCTTATCTGAATGATACTAGTACCACAAAATTATATTTTTATAATAATATTACCTCAAATGTTTGAAACTCCAGAGACACATGAGAAGAATAATCCAGCAGATAGAGGAAAATCCAGAAAAATAATTACTGAGAAAATAGCTGAAGAAATATTCCTGAGTGGAAATTAGATTCGTTTAAGTGACAGCAAAGAGGAAAAGAAATTAATGGTAGGTAAATAAAACTGATAATTCAAGATAAACAATTTTAGAACATAGAAAGGAAGTTCCAGGCCACAAAGTTTCTATTTCCTGAACTAAACCAACTATATACTAAATAACATTTTTTTAAAAACAAATTGAAGAAAGTGAACTATATATGTCTGAAGCTTTCTGAACTCTTTCAGATTGGAGAGACATCTATAAGGATAGAAATCTTAAGATTCTTCACAAATCCTCTACCGCCAACAAGCATCATATTTATAGTAGGCTTTCAACCAGTATTAGCTGTTCAATGGATGAAGACACAAATAAATGTGTTTTCAGGGAAATATTTTCTTTTCTCCGAATCATTGCCATCTTAAATATTGGAGTCTCTAACGCTTTAATTCTTTGCATAGGTTGTTTTCTAAATGTTTGTGTCTTTTTCACATTTGCAGGAACTTCTACACGTTTCTACAGACTTCAGGCATTCTTCTGAAGTCTCGTTTTGGGAAAATCCCCTGGTCACATGCTACACCTGCAGTTGTGAGAAAGCACATTTCAGACAGCAGGGAAAGCCCAGAGCGCCACCACAACAGGCGGCACGGTTGAGGCCACTGAAGCATAGACTGAAAGAGAAGGCTGAGTGACTAGGAGGTAGAAGGAAGGGGGCGGAGACAGCGTAACAGTCTTAAGTGCTGAGAGTCAGAGAGACTATAAAACTGCACTAGAGTTTCAGCGGACTTTCACTTTGAGTCCGCCTGGGATTAACTGGAGAGTCTTGAGTAGCATGAAGATGAGTTCTGAAGACCATTCCATAACAGAGAACAGTTCCCTGAATCTGGAGCAAGGAGGGCGAAGTGAGTACGACCTTCTTCCTGTACTAGTAATATCTATCTCCACAATTGATAACAGTGTTTGGGGAAGAATGTGAAGGGGTTTTTTGTTTTTGAGTAACTTTTTTTATATTGCATTTAAGTCAGGATAAAGAAGCAAATGAAAAGAAGTAAATATGTATTTATCTAAAAGATAGGCTATCTTAGACTCCTAAGAAAACCAAAAGTGAATTTTGGAAAATTTTGAAATATGTTTCTTTGTTATAGTTTTAGCATCTCAATATTTTTAAATTTTATTGAGAAACTTCTTGTAATAGGTCAATGATTTTTCCTGTAGCTTTCCATATAAATCTGTATATATTCCAGTAAGTTGAATTTCTTTATAAGTATTGTATTTTGCACACAAATAAGTTTATTTGTGATTGCCTTCATCTTGTTTCTTCCTGTATTTTCTGTGTGTGTCCTCTTGCATTCTCATTACATCATGAACCTTTGCTGGACACAAAGTTTCTAGTCTTTGGGAGAATCACCAAAGGATGTCACACACAGTTCACACACACCAAAGGATGTCACACACAGTACATATCTAGCTTATTAGAAGGCCATAAAATAATTCTTGAAAATGACATCTCTGCTTTTGCATGCATTCCCTAAGAAACTCTCCTTTTTCCAATTCTTCTTTCTATATCCTACTCCTATCATGTTTTAGATAACACATGAATCAGATAATTTTCTTCTCTTTTTTCACTATCAAAATATGAGCATCAGAGTTATACACCTCTCTTCCTCTCCTCAATTCACTAGAGTATTTCCATTGTTTTCCTGTTATTTGGTTTTAGGCATCTCTTGATTTTTTTTTCACATGTTCTCCATTTCTGATTAATAAGATAACCCATAACACTAACACTTAAAACTAGAATTTACAGGGCTGGAGCGATAGCACAGAGGGTAGGGCAGTTGCTTTGCATGCAGCCGACCCAGTTCGATTCCCAGCATCCCATACGGTCTCCCGAGCACCACCAGGAGTAATTCCTGAGTTCATGAGCCAGGAATAACCCCTGTGCATTGCCAGATGTGACCCAAAAAGCACAAAACAAACAAAACAAAACAAAAAAACTAGAAGTTACTTATAAGCAAAGATATAAAATAAACAATGATGCGTTATGAGCAATGATGCTAATGCAATCTGGAGGAAAAGATTATTTTCCGTTTCATTGGTTAGTTTTACTTTGTTTTGACAGTGCCAGGTATTTAATCAGGATTCTTGTGCTTCATGTGATTCATGTGCTCTGCCACTGAGTCATACCCCCAAACCTGGGATTGTTTTTGAGTGTGGTTTGTTCTAGAACAATATCAGTCACTTCTAACAAATCTACCTTTCATTTAAAAATACAGAAATCAAGAGTGGATAACAAGTGTAGTCACACAAAATATTTATCAAACTAGTAATCATAACTTGACTCTTTAGTTTGATTGCCTTTCTCATGCTTCATCAATATGAACTATTATTTAGGCATCACCCTTGAGTGATTGAAAATATAAAAGTAAATTTGTTTTCAATGTCTGCCATATTGGACATGATCTGCTATTAAAACGGAAGTACTGTGTTTGTGTTGGGGAGTGTTTTGTTACCTAGGTGATAAGTCGAGGTGTGAATAACAACAGGCCCCCACTAGTACAAATAAAGTAAATCTGAGAACCATCTCACAACTTACCCACTGGAGTAGCCAATGGGCCTAGTTCAGGTCTAAAGCCACGTCGCTAATTTGAGGCATTAATGTTCACTAATGAAGCTGGATTGTGTTGAACCTAAGTGGCACGAAAAACTCTCACATAGTGAGAAGTGAAACTAGACGGGAAGCCCTGAACTTGCTACCCTATCTCCCGAGGGCTACTTCCTATGATAACTGAACGTGAGCAAAATGGGAAGATTTGCTTTTTAGATGCTGAGAAAAATAGAACTCTATAGAAGTGAAGTAAAAGCTTCCCTTGCAAAATCTGAATGCAGATCCATGATGGGGGGAAAAATAATCCCCAGAATAAAAAAATTGATACTGACATTCAGAATATGATAAATTACTATAAAAGAAACCATACTTATTCTTTTTTTTTAAATTAGTGAGACATCATGAGGTACAGTTGTAGACTTACAGATTTTTGTGCTTGGGTTTCAATTATACAATGATCAAATACCCATCCCTCCACCAGTGCCCATTTCCCACCACCATGGATCCCAGTATCCCTCCCACCCCCCATCTCCCCCATCCTACCCTGTGTCTGTGGCAGGGCATTCCCTTTGTTCTTTCTCTCCTATTGGGTGTTGTGGTTTGCAAAAGAGGCAATGGGTGCAATAAATCAGGTTTGGTCTATAGTCTACTTTCAGCATGCTTCTCCCATCCTAGGAGGATCCTCCCAACACCCTTTATTTGGTGCTCCCTTCTGTATCTGAGCTCCCTTTTTCCCTAGCATGTGTGGCTGGTCTCAAAGCCATGGAGTAAAATTCCTGGTACTAATCTCGGCCATTCTTGGGTGTAAGTCTCCTATTTTGTTACTTTACGTTCCCCAGATGAATGCAATCTTTCTATGTCTATCCCTTTCTTTCTGTGTCATTTCGCTTAACATGATACTTTCCATGTAGTACCTACCACTTGTATGTAAATTTCATGACTTCATCTTTTCTAACAGCTACATAGTACTCCATTGTGTAAATGTACCAAAGTTTCTTTAACCAGTCCATAATTATTCTTTCATAGTAATTTCTTTCCTCATTTATCTAAAACTTAACGTTTTGTCCTTTTGTCCTTGTGTATTTTTGTAACTCACAGTCATCATCTATATCAAGTTGATATACTAAATTCTTTTTTTTGATATACTGAATCCTTTAATGAAAGTATTTTTATGGAAGTCAATGTTTTTCTTTCAGCATTATATAGAGAGTAAATGAAAAAAACATTTCCACCCAATAGTTTGTTTATAAGTCCATTGTTTCATTCATATTTTAAATTCAAATAGTTTACTCTTAATTCACACATAATTTTAAATTAGAGTATAATTTTCATACAATGGGCATATAGATCATAAGTGTATAGTTAAGTTATAAACAACTCTATTTGAAATTTTTCATCATCTTAGAAAGTTTCCCTGTGCTTCTTTTCTATCAAATTAATTTTTCTCACATATATATATAAAAGCAATCACTTTTCTAATTGCCTTCTACAGAGCTTATTTTAACTATTCTTGAATATTTTATAAATGGAAACATATAGTATATTGTTTGTCTCAACATATTAGTCAACTTTTTGCGATACTCACTGTATTTTGTTCAGATATTAGTTTTGTTATTGTTTTTTTATTGCTCAATAGAATTTTCTTCTATGAATACACCATACTTCGACATATCATTTTCCTGCTGATAAATATTTAGGCTATCTATAAGGATGATACTCTTAAGAATAAAACTACTATGAACTTTCTTGCACAAAGCATTTTGAAGACTTTTTTCATTTCTCTTAAGAAAATACTTAGGAATGGAATTTTGGGTCATAAGTTTTGAGCATGTTTAGCTTTCCTAATTATTTGTCCATATTACTCTCCAACTAGGAATATATGAAAAAGTATAATCAATTTTTAAATCAGGCTAGTTGTAGATATTTATATACCAATTCATGACTTTTCATTGCATTATCCACATTTGTCATCATTTACATCATCTCTCTTAAATAGGTACTACAGAATAGCTAAGGGATTGTGTGTACAATCTTTTTTTATCAGGCTTTTAAACCAGGTATCTAACAAGTGTTCTTATTATAATCAAATCCATAAAATTAAGATATAGTTAGAGTTGTATAACCATCAAGCACATAAAAGGGAGAAATATTTTATAATCACATTATTATATCTGATTTTCCCCCATCTGTCCAAAAGAATCTAAGTTCACTCAAAATTTTGGAATTTGAGTATACAGTTCATGTAAAAAAATAAAAAGACACATAGATTGTTTTTAAATCAATCCCCAGTGAATATCAATGTTTTATACTTCCATTATTTGTCTGAATTCATTGACATCTCTCTCTCTCTCTCTCTACTCTCAGACAATTCCATCAGCCCTCAGTTTGCAACTCATCGTGAAGGCATCCTTCAGGTACCTGTCCCATGTGCTGTAGTGACCATGGTCATCATCACTGCTTTGATCATAACTCTCATTGCTTTTGAAGGTAGGAACCTTTCAGGAACAAATTCACTCTTAGTTATAAGTACTCATGCTCAGTTGAAAATAAACCAGTGTGTTTGACCTGTTCTGATTAGTCAGAAAGTTTTTTTAAATTAATTTGGGACCATCCTATATATTCCACTGGGGTCAGTTACCTAATGTATGCTATCACTCATATTTTTTGGATATCTAACATAACTCTTTTTGTCTTATAGAACTTCTTCTTAAGTATTACATATGTCTCTATTTAAGGATTATAATAGGGCAAAATTGCTTTTGAGAAGATGTTTATATACGGAAAAAAGTGGGTGATTTAGGTTCCCAATAAAAATTAGGTACCTAGCTAGGATGAAAATGAGGGCTTTACATTAATTGATAATGTAAAGAAATAACTTTAAAAATATAAAAGTTATTATATAAATATATAAAAATTATACTTGTACTATGATTCTTTTCCATTTGCGTGCCACACCTGCCATTCAAGGGCTCCTTCTCAGGGCTCTATACTCAGGAATCACTCCCGGCAGGACTGTGGGACACATGGGGTGCTGGGGATGGAACCCAGGTTGGCGGCATGTAAGGCAAGCACCCTACCTGCTGTACTATCACTCCGGCCCTGTTGTACAATTATTTTCAGTTTGTTTTGTTTTTTGTTTATTTTGGCCACACCCAGTGGTGCTCAGGGCTCACTCCTGGCTCTAGGCATTATTCCTGGTGGGGTTTGGGGGACCATATATGGTGCGAGGGGTCAGGCAATCACCCTATCCAAGTACTATCGCTCCAGTCCCCCAATACATTCCTGTAAAGTTTAAGGGATCAGGAAGTCCTACAAGGAGGGTCACTTAGCAGCTACAAGAGACACTTGATTCAGGGCCAAAGATATACCTCAACGATAAGTAGAACGCCTGCTTTGCAACTGAGTCCACTAAGAATTTGCCATCAGACATATTTCAAAGGCCACTGAACAGTGGTCATGGATAATTAAAACTGTATCTAGAAGCTTCAACTGTCAGTTGTGAATACAGTTTCACAAAGTAAAATCTTGCCAAAATACACTTATGTTTTATGAAACTGAAATTGTATGATTTTTATGAAGCATCTTTGGCCACAGAACATTTTGTATTCTAAATTTCTTTTCCACAAATTTGCTATCTTTCTCCCAATTTAGTATAGTATATATTGCACCTTCTGATTCCTCCACCACTGTATTCAGAGCCAACATTTCTATTGCATTTACCTTAATAATACAGGGACTATTTTCTGAATTTTTCAACAACTTTATTTTGATAGTATACTCCTAGAAATATGTTCCTTATTTCATAAACCCTGTGTCATGGTGATTAGGCATAAGGAGGGATAGCATAAGATAAAAAAATATTAGCCTTCTCACAAAATCAGCAAAAATTCTCTTTAACTCATTTTGTAGGCTGTAAATGTTTAGTATCTTTTGTTACTAAAACAGTTTCCCTGTTCACAGTGGGTCAGTACAACTGTCCATCAAATAGCCATGCTTCTTCATGCTCTGATGATTGGATTGGGTACCAGAGAAAATGCTACTTTATTTCTATGGATAAAAAGAACTGGACCTCAGCCCAAAATGAATGTTCTAAACATGGTGCCACGCTTGCTTACATTGAATCTGAAAAAGAGATGGTAAGATAGAAATAAAAAATTTACAGCAATCCTTATAAATTTTGTAGCTGAGCTGTGCTTTCCTCTACCTCCCTCTGTATCACTGTATCACTGTCATCCCATTGTTCATCAATTTCCTTGAGCAGACACCAGTAACATTTCCATTCAGCTTGGCCCTGAGATTTTAGCAAGTGCCACATTGGAGACTCTTTCAAGGTCAGGGGACTGAGACCCATCATTTTTACTGGGTTTTGGCATATCGAATATGCCACAGAGAGCTTGCCAGACTCTGCCAAGCGGGAAGGATACTCTTGGTAGCTTGCTGGGTTCTCCAAGTGCGAGAACTAGACAGTAAGAGGTTGTACAGTGGCCGCACTCTTCCAGGAGCTTTGTTTTATAGTCTCTGGATCTTGGCCGTTCATGGGATTACACAGCGCCAGGACAATTGGTGGGTGTAACCATCTATCTACTGGAAGATGGGGAATCAGGGTGGAGGAAGCCCAATCCCGATCCAAGCAGGCTTGGAAATCTCAGCCCCTGGTCCCACACACCTGGGTTCCTCTGCCGGTTCCTTCATGCATGAGGCTTGTCCAAGCATGTGGGGAGTGGTCTTGAGCATGGCTGTGGCTGGGTACCAGAGGTCTTCAACTGCCAGGTCTCTACTCTGCCTCCCTCTAAATAAAGATATCCCTTGTAATAAACTTTAGTCACAGTTGTGTGATCAGCCTGTTACAATGAGTATTTGATTTTGACTTAAGATTGGTTTTATTGCTTAGCTTCAATGATAGAATTCCAAATGAGGTATAGTGAGCTATGATGCCTGAAGAGTCTCTTTTGAGTAACAGAACTTACAAGAGTTGTTTAGCAGTGACTTCTTTGTGCTTTCTTCAAGATCTTTTTAAAGCGTCTTGGGAGTATGAGCAAATATTGGATTGGACTGAAAAAAGAAGGCGATAAGACATGGAGATGGACTAATGGTAGAGAATTTGATAACTGGTAAGTTCCAAGAAGTGTCTTCAAACTTCTCATACATACTCTTGTCTCACAAAGACCATTTTCTCTTTTTCTTTTCCAAGGAGTGTCTGATTTGAATGGTGGAATCTGTGAACAAAATTCTGTCATGTGTACTTATCTTCTACTGAATTCGTTAAAGCAGGGATTTATACTATTTATTGATTTTATTTGTTCTTTATATGTTATGAAATAAGTACAAATAAATGTTACTACTAACTATATTGATCAAATTCTAGTGTAAGAGACTCAGAAATATTCTGGGAATGCTTATTCAAAAAATTCAACATTTCCACTCGCATATTTATATTTTATAGATGAGCAAGCTTTAGAAAACAAGTTCATCTTACTTTCCCAGTTCTAATTTTTACAAGGATGAAAAATATTTTTAATAACTAATGGAAGTTTCTGTGGATCTAAGAGAAAACTTACTCTAGGATTAAAGATGCCAATTTCCCCAAAATTTTCCTGCAACCAAGAACACCAAACCAATAAGCACTTAAACTGAGCAACACTTCAAAAATTTAGTATTACTCTTTGCCATCTCAAGACCCAGAGCTAAACAGATATTTAGCAATTTAAATCACTGTATATATCATTAAAATAGAGGGAAAAATCACCTCTCCATATTGATTAAATCAATATTTAGTATGTCTGTATTATGCTACCACACCCACATATAAGCTTTAGCCATTTTAAACTCTCTACAATCACTGCACTAGTACACAGGATGGTTGAATGTGGGAACATCCCGGGAACAGTTTCTTAGAAGATTTGTGAACTCAAAAATGATCAAGTCCTCCCTCTAGTTGCAAGCCAATGAAAGGCTCTTGACTTAGTCTTGCATTCTTTTTCCATCCTATTTTTCTCAATTATTTTCTGCTCCCCAACAGATTAGATCCGAAGACTGGCATCATGCATTCCTTTTAAGAAAGAGAAACTCAGAGACTGCCCCCACAAGTTAATTTCTGTGTAACTGAACAGAAATAATGAACTGAAATAACCCTAAGTTTCTTCATTGTCTGCCAGGTTCAGTCTATCAAGATCTGAGAACTGTGTGTTTCTGAACAGCACACAAGTCAGCAGTACAGTATGTGAGAAGAGTTTGCATTGGATATGTAACAAACCCTTCAGAGAATGAGGAAACATATTTGCTTATGAACTATTGTATCATGGGACTGAGTCAAAGGAGTTGGTGTGACAGTTCCTCCTTCATGGTCAGAAGTTTTCCACAACAAAAACCTTTGTGAACTATGTTTGGGTTATTTTGAAAACTAAATAATACTGGAAGAAAAGGAGAGGAATTCGCGAATGTTATCCTTGAGAAATGCTCTCACCATGGGCTGAAATGTGACAGGTTGACTGACAATTATGTCCAAGAATAAGAAGAACTTTAAATGTTGTAAATGCACTTTATATTTTTTTAAATTCAGGAATAATACACCTATTAGATTTTGTTTTATTTATTGTTGAAGGTGGGTCCTTTGTGCATTTGTTCTCTTTGAAGGAGTTGGTTCAGAAAATTGGATGTTAACTACAAAAGAAATTTTAACTTATAACTTATCTAGTGTAAATGACATTTTTAAAAATTTCTTTGGGAGGTGGGCATACCTACCTGTTCTTAAGGTTTACTCCTGGCTCTGTGCCCAGGGAAGGCTCCTGGCAGTGCCTGAGGAGCATACAGGGTGCTGGAAATCAAACCTGAGTCAGCCTCATGTAAGAAAGAACCTAAAGACATATTTTATTTTATTTTATTTTTAATTTGTTTTTTCTCTGGAGAGGGGAAGGGGGTCAAACGAGACAGTGCTCAGGGTTTACCTCATAGCTTCAGAGCTGTGCTCAGGGATCACTCCTGAAAGTACTTGAGGCATCATATGGGGTTCTCAGGATCTAATCTGGGTGAGTAGCAAGCACCTTACCCCCGTACTATCTTACTGGCCCTATAAAGGGCATTGTTTTAAGCTCAAAGAACATTTATAAGTAGATGAATGTTTGTGAAACTAAGTCTAGTAATGTCTCTTTTTTTTATTTAGAAAAGTTTATTAAATTGTTTTGATGTTATCTCCTCAAATCAAGAATTTATGTTTATGTTTTGTTTTGACTTCTTCAACCTTAACTGGTCTTTTCAATGAGATGTAGTTAACTGTCTCAAACCTTATATGTTGTGTTTGGCAGGAAGATGACAGAGTAGAAAAGTTTGTAAAATAGATAAAGTGTTGGAAATTGTGTCATATGTGATATGGATAAATCCTTGTCTGGGATCTCACAGACCTAGATAGCACCCACGTATAAATTTGTCATTCCCAATTCTCTTTCTTGTGCAATACTACTTGTGAAATAAGTTCTAAGTGCAATAAACTGTGTCTTTGTTTGTATTTTGTACTCTGCAATTATAAGCTGCTTTTATGTATGTTAAAATAAAATTGAAATCAATACGGTGGTCTCCAACAAGTTTATCCTTTCAAAGGGTACTAAAAGTTATGTCTTTTGGTCCCCGGAACTACATGTATTCCTGAGCACCTCCAGGAGTAATCCCTGACCACAGCACCATGCAAAGTCTCTGGGCATTTCTGGGGGTGGCTGCTAAAGAAGAACAAATAAACCAAAATGATATTATACTTACACTATCACTTGTTCACTTGACATCCTGTTACTCATCAATTTGCTCGAGCAGGCACCAGTAACATCTCCATTCATCCCTGCCGCGTGCTAGTGTAGCCCAATGGCGTCTGCTCGCTCCAAGACCATGAAGAGCCTCAAACAGATCGTTCAGGGTCTTGACGAAGAGTCTGATCATGTTGTAGATGGGCGGCCACGCGATTTTTTTTATGTCCCATGGAATCCAGTTGGTAATGGCTCTAGTCCAGCAGTGGTCTCCAAATCTCATTATGTGTCCAGCCCATCTGATTTTCAACACCTTGGCAAATAAAACAGCATCCCTGTTTCTCGATCGTCGATGGAGATCGGAACTCCGGACTCTTTCTCTCACTTGAGTGAAGCATGATACTCCAAGCATAGCTCTTTTGATTCCTCTCTGGGAGACACAAATAGTGTTCTCATCCTGTGTTCATAGGACCCAGGTCTCTGAGGTGTATATTAATGCAGGGAGAATGGTGGAGTTGAAGAGATGTGCCCGGAGCTGGAGGTTCTTCATCCTCTTAGCTATTTCTTTGACGCTCTTGAAGGCATTCCATGCCTCTCTCTTCCTCCTGTGCAACTCAGATTCCAGTCCTTCATCATATTGAGTTCTTTTTTAAAAATTTTTATAAGTAATAGCTTTATTGTTAAACTCTATTTTTCTTTTTTTTTTATAATTTATTTATTTATTGAATCACTGTGGGAAAAGTTACAGAGCTTTCAGGTTTAGGTCTCAGTCATGTAAATATCAAACACATTTCCCTTTATCAATACTTATTTTTTACCATGAGCCCCAATAGAACCCCACCTCCCACCCCTCCCAATGCCTGTGTGGCAGATGAGTTCTAGTTAACACTCTATCTACTTTGACTAGATTCATCGTTTCGATAAAAGATGCACCATTATTATTTAGAGTTTACCACCCCCCTCCCAAATCAGACATGATGAAAAAGCGTTGTGAAATGATTTGCTTTCTACAGCTGGGTTCAAGAATTAAATGATGTCACACGGCTGCGATTGTGGCCGTGTGGTTTTGGATTTCTGCTATTTTACTTATTAACCCTGGAAGTATTTCTACTAAAAGTTAGATAATTAAGAGATTGGTTTCTGTGCTCTGGAGTTGTGGCCGTGCCAGAGAGCCGCTTGTGGGGGGCAACTGGTGACCTCGGTAGGTCGTGAAGGACGGGCCAAAACGCCCCCCTTCCCATGAGGTTTTTGTCGCCCCCAACCCCCAGCTCATAACTGCTGTCCACAAGGCTCCCATGTGGCCGTCATCTTTCTTTCCAGAGAGGAGTGGGCGAATGGGCCATGTTGAGTTCTTGTCCTAGCTACACATAACTGCTGCATTCAGAGATGTTCGTTCCAGTTAGAGCGAACTTCATGGATCAGGGACAAAGGACTGTGAAGTTTAAGAAGACAACTCCCAGAACGACCACCAACTGGGAGCTCTTTGGCACTATTGCGGCAACATGGGAAGATGCCGTCATTGATGACATGGATGAAGAATACAATCGACTGGTTCAGCACCTCCTTGATTGTCCAAGGAAGGAACGCCAAGGGAGAGAAAGCCACAAAAAGATGCCTGGCTTCAAAACCTCTTGAGCTCATTCGCCAACGTGGCTGGGCGTGAGCCTGAGGCAACCACAAGCTAATGTCTGAGCTCTTAAAGCTGTGCAGAGAAGCGATAAAGAAAGACCTTAAAGAAAGAAGAGCAGCAATGCTGGCAGATGAGGCAGAAGCTGGGAAAAGCATTAGCAATGCCCGTCTGTCCTTTGCCAACTACAAGACCAAGATGACTGCCCTCCAAAGTCCTGGTGGATCTATCACATCTTCCAGAAGGGTAACAGAGAAGATTATCCATGACTTCTACTCGGATCTCTTTGACAGTCACGTCCACCTGCTCACACACCAAATTCTGCAGAATAGATATGTCACTCCCAAAGTTCTCCCTTCTGAAATCTGACACGCCATTTTGTCAGTAAAGATCAAATAGCACCCAGCCCAGACAAGGTCAGACCCGAACACCTGAAGAATTTGCCATCAGTACTCATCAATACACTGGCTCAGCTCTTCTCATGCTACCTGTCTGAATGCAATGTTCCATCCCAGTGGAAACAGGACTGTTCTACTGTACAAGAAGGGAGACATCCATGACATTAGCAACTATCGCCTGATCTGCCTGTTGTCCATTGTCTACAAGCTGTTCACTCGAGTAATCCTGAGTAGAATTGGCAGAACATTCAATGAAGGACAACCATGCCAGCAGGCCAGGTTCCGAAAAGGATTCAGCATGATTGACCATATTCACATGGTAACCAAGCTCATTGAGGTTTCTTGGGAGTTCAAGATGCCACTCTTTCTAACACTCATTGATTTAAAGAAGGCCTCATTTGTTTCTGTTGAGACTGAAGCAGTCATCGAAGCCCTAGCTAAACAGGGTGTTCAAACTCAATACATTAGGATCCTCCATGAGCTGTATTATGGATTCACTACTAGGATCTGACCATTCTACAAGGAAGTGATTATCAATATAAAGTGAGGGCTTGGCAGGGTGATACCATTTTACCGAAACTTTTCAGTGCCACCCTCGAGAACATCATGTGATGACTGGAATGGGATGGAATGGGAGTGAAGATAGACGGTCAGCAACTACACCACCTCCGCTTTGTGATGACATCATTCTAATAACATCAAACATTAGCCAAGCTGCATAAATGCTAGCTGACTTTGACCATGAGTGTAAAAAGTCAGACTGCAGCTGAATCTCATGAAGACAATGTGCATGAGAAACAGACTCATTCCTGACTTTCCATACTTACACTGTAAAGCAGAAAAAAAATAAGTCTCCATACTTTAGCTCTATATCATTACTTGTTCTTGAATTGTGTCTATGTATCTTTGCAAATCACCATATCCATTCTTTTTCTCTAAGTAAGAGATAACCAGTTCCCGTTCCAAATAACACTAAGAGGAACTTGTCATCTAAAAAGTCAGTTTGCATTATTATCTTTCTTCCTATTTTATTATCATCACACTGAAGAGAAAGTTAAATTAAAAAGTAGCTGTGGTCACTTTTCCATGATCTATTTTAAATTAACCCTCTATCTAGTAAGGGGATAATGGGAATTCATAACCAATACTCTAAAAGAATTTACATAATTCTGAAATGCTGTGCCTAAATTAGTCACTTACATTAAACTGTCAGTAAATAGAAACTTAAAGAGGAACTATGTCATCTTAATGGTGATGCAGATGATGCTGGAGTGATGGTGGGTCTCTGCTCATTCACAATTCCCAGCATCTTCAATTATATTCAGAATGAAAATATTGAGCAATAAAGATGTTCAGAATCAGAGTTGGAAAGTAGAAAAGTTCATTGCAAAGTAGAAAAGAAAGGAAAAAGAACTTTCCATGTGGAAAGGAACTTAGTATATGATTAAGTAAGAGTTTTATGTAGGCCTTTTTAAGGCCCTTTGCATTTCTTATCAACTGACAAGTATTACAGAGAATTCAGGGAATCGACAGGGAGGACTGGCTGGTTTGAGTCTTTCTGGCCGTCTGCCTCTGGTATTGACCATTATGTTAGTCTCTCTGTGAGCCTAAACTCTGGGGCAGATTCTTATTATGGACCATTGCTAAGTCCTTGTTTATCAGAAAAGCCCAAGAATTTACAGGAGGTCAAAAATTGTAGGATGGACATTGCATGGGATGTGAAGTAGAAGGCAACCAACCTCGATTAAGAGGACATTAACACACAAGGCTTAACCTGTAACGACATTTTAGTAATCTTTTCACAAGGGCTTACTGGCTCCAGGGTGAGATACAACAATCTTAAGGAAATATTTTTTGATCATTTTTAGTGAATTATTCCTAATAAGTAATATAAAATATTTAGGGCCTTCTATTGGGGCAGACTTGGGTGGTGGTTGGGAAAATTGGAAATAATGATGGTGGGAAGGTGCAACGGTGGTGGGACTGATGCTGGAATATTGAATGCAATAAATCATCATGAACAACACCAACGACATAGTGTAGGATGGGTCTGCTCACAGTGGCAGGCAAGGCTAAACTGAAGCTTCCTCTTTCAATGGGATTTCAGCTTGAAAAAAGTCTGATTACATCAAAAGTGTTTTGCTACTGTATTTTGTTCCATGTTCTCTCTATGAAAATTGGAAATGGAAGCTGTATATGATATCTCTTTAAATCTTTAAAGTAGCTAACCGCTGCTGAATTCAATTCATTTTTAAAATTGTAACACTAATACCAACTGAGTTTTAAGAGGTGTTTCTCAATTTTCATACATTTAGCTGAGTGTTTTACAAATAGAAGATATAATAATCGAAATGAAAATGTTGAGTTCTGAAGCAAAAGTGGGACAATATATGACCAGAAAAACTATCATATAAATCAACTTACCTTTGGAAAACAATTAAAAATACTTATTAAAAACCCTCTAAAACTCTCCTGTTTTCTCCTTTAATGTTATATTTTGGGTATGTTTTTCAACTCAACTGAAGGACAATTGGTGTACAAATAACTGTACATGGTATGTAAGAAATTTAGAGAAAAGTTACTTGGACTGTAGTGAACTCAACAAGGAGTTGGAAAGAACAATGCAGGAGTTGTCACATTTAGTCTCTGAAATTCTCCAGTAGTTAAGAAAAGTAACTACCTTCTTTTGCCAACCCAGTTCCAAACCCACTATAACACAGATTGGCTTAACTCCATGTGTAAAGTTTTGTATTCACCATGAAATCTATGCAAAACATATTCTATCTCATAATTTGTCT